TTTTATTTTATTTTATTTTATTTTATTTTATTTTATTTTATTTTATTTTATTTTACAGGTAGTCCTTGCTTAACAACCATTTGTTCAGCAACTGTTTGAAATTATGATGATGCTGAAAAATGGACTTACAACTTGTGCCTGCAGTTATGACAGAAGCACCCCTGTGGTCACATGATCAAAATTCAGGCACTTGGCAGCCCACCTGCAATTACAATCGCAGGGGCACTTCAACTCCCCCCACCTGCCTATCTCCTTCCCCATCTATGCCCTTTTGGGCCCCTGCTGCTCTGCACTCCATCACCCCGGCTGACCTTTGCCACCGTCTTCTTGCTTCCGCTGCTGATGAGGCATTCCTGGCCTAGTTGCTGGGCTCAATGGGGCTGGGTTTGCACTGTGAAGAAGGGGAAAAGAGCTGAAAGCAGCCTTTTTTTCCCATTCTTTGCAGCACAAAGCCCTCTTTGGAGCCTCTGAGAGGGGGCGGGGCTGGCTTCATGCTGCAAAGAAGGGAAGAAGGTCACATGTTAATTTGCTTAATGACCGCATTGCTTAGCGACATAAATTCCAGTCCCAACTGTCGTTAAGTGAGGACTACTGGTATTGACTTAGGTTCTGCCCAATTCCAGTTGACTCTGGCTGGCTCCCAGCATAAAAACAAACCACAAATTTACAGAACGCATATAACAGTGGCAGTGACAAGATGGCAGAACTGGTCAAGAAGACAAACATGTCTTACACTCGCAAGGGGCTCCAACCACTCTAGCTCAATACCTGAGATAACAATACATCTTAGTCCAGAACATTTATTTTGGCATCAAACTTTTTTAGTGATATACTAAAGTTTTTATATGCCATGCCTCCGTTTTGTTTTTCCAGCTACCTTTCTCTCTCCCAAGTCTTATTCCTTGTATTTTGCTTATGTGTCACTTCCCCCCAATGAAACTGTAAGCCACTTGGTTTCAGCCACAGCACTTCTGTTTCTTTACTTGGTGTCTAAGATTTAAATATCAAAGTTGTTTCAGAGAATAACTTTTTCCCTGAGGGTACTTATCATCCTGTATATTTGTGTTAGTAATCAAGGCCTAGCTCTTGTCATTCAAAAGCCACCCACTGTACTGGACATGTTTGTTTTATATGCAGTTTTGTGCTGAAGGAACCAAAAATTGCCAGCAGGCGACTGGGTTGCAATATCTTAGCTGTTTGCTATTGCACCTCCCTTTTAAAGGTCAGTGTCAGCCTTCACTGGATGGAAAGCATAATTTTAGAACATTCAGTCCATTAGCCTTGATTCATTGTCCTCAGTCTGTGAGTAGGGGGTCGTTATCTCCTTCTTGAGGCCTTGATTTTTATTTGTGTTTTTAGTATTCACAGCACATCAACTTGGTAACCTTCTTTGGGCTAGAGGGAGGGGTGTCATCATAAATAACTATATGGTAAAAGTTAGCCTCTAATAAAATAGGCTAGCATGCTTAGAAATTCTCTTTTCAAAACTAGAAGTTTATTTACTTTATGGAATATAAAACACATGATTATCAAGACTTATGATGTCCTCGAATGCTAGATTACATGGGTCATGCGGCTTGTTTATTTTTCCAATGAAAGGTAATAGACATTTTCAGTTCTCATAATGAGAACCTTTTCAGCAATAAAACGTGTTTCTTGCCATAGGGTTAACTGGTTATTATGGGTCATCAGTTAACATGTTTATTGTTTGTTTCTGGTTTGTTTGTTTTTTATTCTTTTCAGCTGCTACATATTTGTATTGAAGGTTGGGGAAACTGGCGGTGGTCTGAGCCATTTAGTGTAGATAATGCAGGAATATTTATCAGAACTATTCAGTACAAGGGAAGGACAGCTTCACTTATTATCAAGATCCAGCAGCTCTGTGGAATACAGAAACAAGTAAGTAACAAGAAGGTTTGCATGTAATACATGGGCATTTCCAGACAGGATTCTTTCCCCATCACATTGTCTAAGGATGCTGTTAGCCATAATTACGCTTAGCAATACTGCAATAGCAACAGATGCTTTGATGCTTTCGGATCAGGGGTAATCATGAAACATCTTTCTCTCTCTTGTCACCCTTCTTCTCTTTCTGTGGGAGGTCTAACAGAGGCTTTCGTTCGGAAAATAAGAATTGTAGTAAACAACAGAAAATCTGTCAGTTGTGGCAAGTTCACTTTATATATTGGGACTAATGCACTCATCATACTGCCTCCTGGAAAATCTTGAACACTCTGCCCCCCTCTGCCTTTTATTTATTTTATTTATTCAATTTATATAGCCACCCGCCCCAGACCAATTCTTTTAGCTATTCGTATCTAGAGTAATTTCCTACATTGATCATAATTTCACAGAAATATGGGCAACAATGCAAGAAAATAATAAAACTGAAAACAAACTAATGAAGGACCCAATTAAAATATAATATAATGCAGTAATTACTAAAATTGAACTGTGAAGGGAAAACACCAGCCTCCTTTTGAGTAAAACACAGCAACAGGACATAAGTGTCTGCAGACTCAGTGCCTGCTGAGCAGTAAGGCTGCTCAGAGTACTCTTATAAAAAAAATTACAGTTCATAACAAGGTAAGTGGCCTCTCAGATAGCAATACCCTAAGCAATTTATGGTTTCAAAGATTAAGGCTAACCACTTCAATTCAGACCTGGAAGCAGTTGCCAACCAGTGCAGGAATTTCAGTGTAAGATATGATCACAGGTAGCAACTTGCATCGATTGACACCCATTGGTTGTCTTCTTGGGTAGCGCATGGCTGAACATATTGCAGTATTCTGGACATGGTGAAACCAAGGCATGGGTAACTGTTGCCAGCCCAGAGAGAAGCCGATTTAGTTTAATCTTTTTTTTTCCAGTTTTCAGGTTTGAACTGTAAAAACAAATCTCTGCTTTTTTTCTTTACACTGATAACTGATTCACATATCCTGACTTTAAATCAGTACTTAAAATATAGTATCTCAGTTCAGATAACATGGGAAATTGATTTAAGAATCTGTTATGTATTTCTTAAAGCTCAACATGGAAAAGAAAAACTCAGATCAGATCAGAACATGTGGTTAAAAGGCCTGATCTCAGTGTAATAAACTTTGGTTTACTGGCCAAGGTAGTTATATCTGAGCATTCTTATCTTTCTGTGAGCACTTTTCTGTAATACAAATGTTTATGTTCAAGGTGCACTTTAGCTTTCAGTCTATGAACTGGCTCATATAGAACATTCTTCTGTGTTGTCTGTATGTTTTTTTTTTAATCTAGATAATTATTTGTGGAAGACAAATTGTATGTAGTTACCTCTCTGAAAGCATTGAACTGAAAGTTGTTCAGCATTATATTGGGCCTGATGGACAGGCTGTTGTGAAAGAACACTATGATTGCCTTGAACCCAAGCAGAAACTACCATCATATGTTCTAGAAAATAATGAATTGACAGAATTGAGTGTAAAGGCTAAAGGAAATGAAGATTGGTCAAGAGATGTGTCACTTGAGTCGAAGCTCATGGAATATAGCACGGTCATCCAGGTATGGAAGCAAATATTTTGTAGGACAGGGTGTTGAAAGAGGCTACCTCTGAGCTAGAGGAAGATGGATGATCAAGCTATAATTTAGGCATTAAAGCTAAAAGGCTTCCTGATGAGTTTTTAAACACCTCCCATGGAATCTTCTAACAATAGTTTTCTAAAGGCTAAAAAATAGATAATACCAGACATACAATTAGCTATTTGCCCTCATTTGGTTTGAAGGAAAGGGTAGGAATATAGACCGTGATTAACCTGATTGGTTAATGTTCCCTTTTTCCTCCTCCCCCCAACCCATATGTATCCCAGTCCAAATGGGGCAATTCTTTATCCTTTTTTAAAAACCCTATTCAGTTGCTAATAATGCACATGGGTGCCATTTCCAGTCTGAACAAAAATAGAGGATAGCAAAAGAAAACCCAATTTGGCTCCACAAAAGACAGGCATTCACTAAGAAAGTGGGTACCTGTGTGTGTGTGTGTGTAAAAATATTCCAGAACTGTTATCAGGAAAGCTAATTAAAAACTTTATGTATGTTCAAAATAAAGAGAAGATAATTGATGTAACAGCTGCTCAGTGAAGTTAATAAAATACTAACAGGCAACAGAGGAAAGATAGAGCCAATTACCTCCTCTTTTCACTCAGTCTTCTCCAACAAGCAGTTGTGAAGAGCAGCTAAAGGTGCTAGATTGAAACGTAATATTGACAGAAATTTGGTCAAGGAACACCCTACTTTCAGTGAATTTAAATCTTCAGAGCTAGATGAATTCCACTATAGAGTATTGAAGGAACTTGATGATAGCTAGCAAAACCTTTATGTATTGTCTTTGAGAAATTCTGAAGAACTATTAAAATGCCACGTAATTGGAAGAATTATTCTGTTCCTGTATTAAAAATTATCATCAAGTGTTATCTCTATGTTCAAAAAGGGGAAAAGAGAGAGTCCAAGGAATTACAAACTAATCCATTTCTGACATTGATACTTGGAAAGATTCTAGAGCAGATTATAAATCTTTAAGGACTTTTTAAAATAGTTTTATTGAAGATTATATAAAACAGATAAAACTAATACAAAAATCAAATACCAAAATAGATGTAAAAATATAAGACAGTGCAAAAAAAAAAGAAAATAAATCCCCCCCAAAGTACTAAGAAGAAGCTTCCCTTTTCATCCCCAGCAAGTATATAAAACGTTAACAATTTATCACTGTCTCTTAAAATACTACCAAATACATCTTCATTCCATCCTTCACCCCATTTCTATAAACCCATTTCTAAATCCTCAGCTTTCCTTATTAATCAACAAAAGGTCTCAAGATTAACAGATATAGCTAGCAACATAAGCATTTAGTCCCCCTTTCCCTTTAAACATAATCCCCCTAATCCCTCTCTTAATAATCAAAATCTCATCCCAATTGACAAACATTATAAATGAATAAAAAAAATAACCACTAATCATCACTCGAGATAACAACCCATTATTAAACCCAATTAAATAATTAAACATTAAAAAAATTAAATGCAAAAAACTATTAAACTTTACCAGAAATAATAATCTTTTATTAGTATACCAAAAATAGTAATATAGATATTACAAACTAATCCATTAAACCCAATTAGACATTTCCAAAAAAGAGTGCTCCAATCAAAGTAACCATTAAACATCACCAAAAATAACAATCCATTACTTAACCATAATCAAATAAACCATTTTTGTATTTTTTCTTCTGCCTTCCATCAGTCCTTAAATCCCATAAATAAAATTCCAGCATCTTCTTTCTTCTATTATCCTTGTCTTTTCTGTCAAAATCATTGTCATCTTTATCAAAAACCGTATGTAATTTTAATATAGCCACTCCTGTAAATTTCTTATATTCCAATTTAAGCAGGTAATCCATATCCCTCTTTTGATTTTCAAATGATCATCCAATTCCATTTGTAAATCCAATATTTCCATCTCTTTCTTATAGTTTATAATTTTTAAGTCCACCTTAAAAGCATTTCAGTTATCTTCCAAGGAGCTTGGTTCTCTTCAATAGCAACTTTTGGTTCCAATATAGGGTTAAATAATCCCAACATTTCTTGAGCCAGTTTATACATTGTTTTCTTTAGTAGCCATCTGGTGCTCTCTGGTGATTAACCTTCAAAGCTTTTTTATCAGGGCAAAGTATAAACATAATTTTTCCCCCACAGGAGAAGCTATCGGAGGCTAATTAACTTCCAAAGTCTTACCCTAAATCAATTTCATCCAAATCCTTAATGTTCAAAAACTTTCCAAAACACACTATAATCCCCCTTTTGTTATTTATTGCAAAAAATAAAGATCTTACAAAACTGGAAACAGAATTTTCTTTCTTTTTAAACGGATTGAAGAGGAATTCACCCAGCAAATGCCAATTTGCTGTTCTGAAGGTTTTTCATTCTTGAAGAAGCACTAAGGAAAAAAATTAAACTTCAGGGTGATTAAGAGGATGAGGTTTAGATGAACTTTGAGTCCTTGAGAGGCTACATTAATGGCTCAGAGCATGATGAAACCCACAATTCCCAGCTGATCACAAGCAGCTGCATCAGTTTCTGCTGCTGACTCATTAAAAAAAAAAAAAAACAGGTGTCCAGAATGCATGGGGGTGATCTCAAGATTTCTCTTTGATCCAGAGAGAGTTATCGGCAGTCCAGATCTACATCCAGCTGCCTTTCGGCCGTGATGTCTCCCACAGAACGTAGGCATCAGTTCACTAGCCTCACCGGAAGCATTCTCCATAAATCTTTAAGGACTTTGAAAACAATGTGGAGCATGGACTGTCAAGAACAAATCTTGCAAAGACTTACACCTATTTTTTGATAGGATAACTTCTTAGTAGATTGTGGTAATGTATAGACAACATATATTATGATTTCAGCAAAGCATTTGAAAAAGTACCCCACAACATTCTTATTAGCAACATAGGTGTGTGTTGAATGGCATGACAATTAAGTGGATACATAAGCAGCTTAAACATTTTAATCAAGGAAAGTTAATCAGCAATTCCTTATCCAGTGGGAATGAGGTATTGCTTGATGTGCCACAAGGTTCAACATTTTTATTAATGACTTGGATAAAGAGGTGAAGGAATGTTTATCAAATTTTCAAAGACACAAAATTGGGTGGGATAGCTAATACCCTAAAAGAGAGAAATAAAATTTAAATGATTTTAAGTTAGAGAAATGAGCTGACAAAAATGAATATTGTAACCGAGACAAATATAACTTTATTTGGTTAGGAAATGAAATCAAATACCTGGGTATAGAATGGGAAATATTTGGTTTGTTAATAGAAAAAGATATGTGACTAGTCACTGATTACAAATTGGATATGAGTTGTCAGTGTTTTGTGACTAGAAAAAAAAAAAGACAAATGCGATTTTTAAGATAGCATCAACAGTAGTATAGTTTGCAAATAATGAATTGTTATTGTTCTGCATTGGTCAGACCCCATCTTATTTTCATTTATTTATTTATTTGTCATATTTGTATAGCCACCCATCTCACATAGTGACTCTGGGTGGTGTACATAACAGAACAAAATACATAAAAGTAATATAAAAAACAATCAAACCACAATTTAAATTAAAAATAAAAACAAAGTAAAAAACAAAATGGCAGCCAGCATATAAAGAGTGCATCAGTTAACGATCAAATAACCATCCAGCAGGCTCCATTCTACCATGGGATCCCCAAGCTTGTTAACAAAACCATGTTTTGAGGGCCTTCTGGAAGGCCAAAAGGGTTGGGGCTGGCCTCACCTCAGGGGGGAATGGTGTTCCATAGAGGAGGGGCTATGGCAGAAAAGGCTTTCCTCATAGGACCTGCCAGACAAAACTCCCTAGCTAATGGAACCCACAACATGACTCTCTTGCCAGGCCTGATGGGATAGGTAGATGTCACTGGGGAGAGGCGGTCCCTCAAATAACCTGGTCCCGTGCCATGTAGGGCTTTAAAGGTCAAAAACAGCACCTTGGATTGGACTCAGAAGCAAACTGGTAACCAATGCAGCTCACGAAGCAGAGGTGTAATGTGTGCAGTTCTTGAAGCACATATAACTGCCTGCACTGCCACATTTTGCACTAACTGAAGCTTCTGGATAATCTTCAAGGGCAGCCCCATGTAAAGCGTGTTACAGTAGTCCATCCAAGAGGTAACTAGGGCATGAGTGACTATGAGTAGGGCCTCCCGATTTAGGAATGGGCGCAGTTGGCGCACAACATGAAGCTGTGCAAAGGCCCTTCTGGCCATGACTGCCACTGCTCTTTAAGCAGGAGCCATGAGTCCAGAAGAACCCCCAAATTGCACACTGGGTCTGTTTGGGGTAGTGCAACCCCATCCAGGACCAAAGATGGTAAATCTTACTTATTGTATCCAGTTCTGGGCACCATACTTTAAGAAGGATTCCAAGAAGCTATGAAAGTTTCAGGGAAAAGTAATGAAGATGATCACAAGAAATTGAGTCCTATGAAGAGAGAGAGAAAAAGTTGGGAATGTTTAGCCTTGACAAAGGGTGGGGGGAGAGATAATAGCATTCTTCAAATACCTGAAAGGATGTAAACCCTGGGCTTTATTGTTCCAGAGTGAACAATAGGTAATGGAATTAAGTTTCAGGAAGGCCTATTCACATTGAGTTTTAACAGCAAGAGAAGTCTGATAGTGGAATCTGTTACTCAGAAGGTTGGTAGCTCCCCTTTACTAGATGTGTTGGAGCCAAGGCTAGACAGCCATCAGCCACCAGTGCTTTAATTTAGATTCCTGCTCTGAGCAAGGGGTTGCAGCTGATGGTCTAAAAGGCCTCTTCTAATTCTGTAATGTTGGTTGGGCTCTAAACAGGCATCCTTTAGAATAACATGCACAAGTACAATTGTATTTCTGCTGAAAATGTTCTTTCTGCTCTGCAGTCCGTTTGGTTGTAGTTATTTACTTCTATGAGGCTACATTAACCTCTACAAACATCTTCCTTTGCTGCAGGTGCCATCATCAAATAGTTCTATTATTTATGTATGGTGCATGGTTTTGATGTTAGAGGCCCAGTCCCAAGTCCAGCAACGAACTGTGAGTACTTCCCCCTTGTGCAAATTGATCTTGCTCTTTATGTTCTGAATACGGTCAGTCTGACCCTAAGCAGAGATTTATTGACAGTTTGTTAGAGCTGGAATGCTGACCTGGAACACTGCATTCAATATTGCTCTGTTCTTTTACTTTTGTAGATTGTTTTCAGCCCTCTTTTTATCATAAGGAGCCATCTTCCTGATCCCATCATCATACATTTAGAGAAAAGAAACCTGGGTCTGAGTGAAATGCAAGTAATTCCTGGAAAAGGAAAAGAAAAAACATTGCAAAATATAGAACCAGATCTAACCCATCACTTAACCTTCCAAGCCAGGTATAATTTTTTTTTTTCCTAAATATGTTGGATTTCAAAGTAGCTTTTCTGTCCATACAAATTTCATCAGTATTGTCCCTATTTCAGATAGGTAATGGAAATTTGGAGCAGTAGTTCCCAACCTCTTGCTTTATGTGGATCACCACACTGTT